AGTTGGCACCGACAGCTAAGTTCATATCTATTTTCTTTTATACCATTTTTTTTCCTTCATATTTACATTCTTTATATGAACCAACTACTAATGTTTTCAATCCGACTCCGATGGTTGGAATTCTCAACTGTGACTATGTGTTTTTTTTGTTTTTTACTAACTCTTACACATGTTATCAACATGTAATATAATATATTTTTTTCACACAATTATCAATATAACATGAACGCACTAGTCGTCATGGATAATTGTGGATTATGACTTAGACTCGTTTGGTGAGTTTTGACTTAGGCTCGTTTGTTGTAAAGGAACGTATAGGAAACTAAATGGTGAGCACGAGTTATGAATAGGAAACATATTCCTCGGCCATCATTGTCGATGATCCAGATCCACTGCTAGAGACACGACTTTCCCGTTGCCCCATGGGAAGGAGACATAGAGTTGGATGCGAGGATTTTGATGTGTTGAGACAAAGTTTTCCCATCTTCATCTCCTTCGATTCGATAACAATGTCTTTCTCATTTTCAATAGCGATGAATTAAGGTTGGAAATTTCCCATATTTCTAGCTTTCAAAATTAAATTCCTTTTTAGTACCAGCACCAAAATTAGGACTTTGAAATTCGAGATATCAAAATCCACATTTTTTTCTTCTCCCTAAATACAACCCTAATTTAAGGTTCACCCTCCAAATTCACTACACATAAGTATTTCTTTATATAATTTAAGAAACCAACCAATAACTAAATATTAAAGACAACAATTAATTATCACATAGGCAACAATAAGGATTCAGGGTTACCTCTCGGAGCTGCGATGCAGTGAAGCTGTGGATGCTCGACACAATTCGTAACATCAATTTTTTTTTTAAATTGATAAATCATCATTTTTTTAAACAACATAGTTTTTTTTGAAATTGTTAAATTTTTTTACAAAAACAAAAAGAATTTTTATAAATTTAATTATTTTGGCAAAGAATCGTTTTTAAAACCACATGCTCCGATACCAAAATGTAACACCCCAACCCGCGTAACCCGAACCTGGGCGAGGACTCGACGACTTCTCTGGTCGGCGTCTCTCGGGCGTTACGCGATAAGGGATGGGTTCCGTAACTTCCCTGGGCATGTTTAATATATAATTAAATATATTTAGGATCCAATTTACACTTCCGAGCCAATTAGGATAAGTTTAACCCCAATTACCTGATTCGTCAGTTGTATCTTGGACCCAATAAGCCCGATTCACGATCCGTTTACGCGATCGGGTTCAGAACAGCGAGCTGTACAACGTAGGTTAAACCCTCATTAATTAAGAAAAATTAGAAAATAATCCTCGTATTGACCGGCCCAATAATTAATTAATTCTATAAATTAATTAATATACTAAGCCGGGTTCCAGGGCGTTACAGTGTACGTCTCACAATACATTATATTCACATTCTTGTGTCTTTTTCATTTATTTTATTCTACTGCCACAATGCATTTTCTTATGACTATATGTTTTTCATACTTTGACTATCAAGAAGTTTTTTTCAAGTTCGCCCATTGTGTGAATATGAGTTCCAGGTTTTGGACACCACTGTAAGGGCTTTTAGAGTTAATCTTTGGTCCAGGACTTGTACTTGTTGTGAGTTCTAAACTGATCACTTTATATGTGTTCATGCTGTTGCAGCTATTCGTACACGCCCAAGTGTTTCATGCTATGAATTTATATCAAAATACTACACTACTTCTGAGTGGATTGCAGCATATGAAGGCATTATACACCCATTGGGTAGTAGAGACAGTTTTAAACGCCCACCTGGAAGACCCAAGAAGTGGTGAATTCCATCCAGGGGTGAGACTACGAGCAGACAATGTTGCTCCCGGTGTAAAATGCCTGGACATAATTTAAAAAACCTGTACCAACCCCCTTTCTATATGTCGCACATAAGTCATTATGCAAGAGTATCTGTTTTTGGAATGGACCTTATGTTTCTTTCCAATTCATGAACATTTCAAGTCCTTTTGTATTGTCTTTTTGAAATTGATCTGAATATCATGTCTTTTCACTCTTTTCTTCAGCTCTATTGTTTTTACTTTTCATTTGTGTTGAATGCCATGATATTTATGTGTTTTGTGAAATGGGTCAATATGTTGTCCTGTAATGTAACACCCTAATCTGTCTAGGTCTGCAGCCCTATTCAGACTAAAGTATTAACTTGGTAATCATAAAATTTAAAACATTTCAAGCACTTTTATTTATCACAATAATATTTTTCATATCATAAACAGTACGGAGTTTTCAATATTGCGGAAGCTTAACAAATCATGATCACAAAAGTAATTTACTTATGTTCTTTAATTCAAAACCTTCACATCCATTCCGACAATTTCACCTCTGTCTGCCTCCAGGATCACGACACTTCATTCTTTCTAATAATCTGCGTGTAGCAAATAAAATATACTACACGCTCAACGTTGAAGCTGAGTAAGCATATCTAATGCGTCGAACATCCATATAAACTGAATCTCAATTCATAATCAAATCATTTTATATCATGCACATAATGTTCAGTTCAGATATTCAATAATCATTAGTCAATATTCATCATTCATTATTCAACATTTATATTCACATTCAACGTTCATCACTCATTCATAATATTCACAATATTCAATTCAATAATCATCATTCAATATTCATTCATATTCAATATTCAATATTCGACAATATCCTTAAACTATTCTTAGTCTAAGGTCAATCACTTCAATGTTTATCAATCCTTAAACGAATTCTAGTTTAAGATAAGTAAACTATATTCTAGTATAAGGTACTTCTAAATAATCATTGAGCTAGGCCTAGTTTAAGATAAAAGAGATCTTCAAAATCTTAAACTTACCTTCACTTAAGGCCAACCAGAAACTGACAGCGTAGTGTTCACTGTTGGGTGGGTGGTACCCCCAAACGAGTAGGTACTAAAGCTTGGTTCTTGGATCCCATACGTACGTTTTAACCCTGGCCACCGGGTATCATACCCAAAAGGCCAAACTTAAATGGGTATATCTTAGAGGTCTTCCAGATACCTTTCAAAATCAACATTACATATTATTTTCACAATCATCAATATATTCATTATGATTTAATCATTCATAATTATCATTTTTAATCAGAATATTCATCAAGATTTAATCATCATAATCATCAATCAATATTCATTACCATAATCATAAATCAACGTAATATTCAATAACAAGTAGTGGCCTAGCTTCGGGCGTTAACACCCTAACTTACCGTCATGCATCACACAAGATTTAATTTGTTAAAAACATCATTTTTATTATGAGAAATCATCTTTCTAATGATCATAATCAATTGCTATCAAAAATAGGATTTTGGAACTCAGAAATAGCATTTTCGGACAAATTTTCGGATCGGTTTTTTGGTGGATCGATCCAGAGGGCTTGATCGATCCATATGTAGAGGAAATACGCCCAGGTGATGGATCCACCAATTTGGATCGATCCAGGCAGCCTGGTTTTTGGTTACTATTCGTCTTCTTCTTTGTTCGGGTCCAATTTCGAAAATACCGTTTTTAATTACCGAACTTCAACTAAATTATATAGAAATGTTCCCCAAAGTTCAAAGATCATTTTGGTATCATTAATTCATAGTTTTAACAACAATTTCATGGTTTATTATTCTTGGTTCTTCAAGCATGTCAATCACAAACTCAACCAAACGATCGTTTCTAAACGTAGAAACAATCTATACAAACATTCTAGTCACTAGATATATCTACGGGCTTACCTCGAAGCTAAATGGAGGTTTTGAAGATTTTCCGGAGAAACTTCCGGCGAGGATTGTGGCTATCTCCGGTGACTTCACACGAAATTGACAGCACCTCTGTGTTCTCCACACTCAAATTAAAGCTAACTCTCAGAAGAAATTGTGAAGAATTGGGTAGGAAGAGGTGGTCCTTATATAGCTCAGTGAAGAGGAAAAAGACACGGTGATGCCGTCCATTCTCCTGTTCTGGCGTCTCAATGGAGCGGACGACTGATTTTTATGATTTTAAACGTAAGTCCCTGATTGAGACTAAATTGGTCCGAGTCGGGGAACACTTTTTGGTCCAACTTTCTCCGAATTGAAATCTGTTTACACCGTTGCGATCAGACAGTTAAACTCTACCCAATGATATAACTTTTATATTCATCGGTAATACTTTTTCCGACATCATATTTTTAGGTGGTTGACTTTGATAGTCAAAATTGATTAATTTGACCTTACCCAAAAAGGTTCTTACATTTCATTCATATTATTTATTCTCATGATTTATTTCAATAAATCATTTCAAAGTTCATATCATAAACAAATTTCGTAATTTATCCTTGATTTGGGTCTGTACTCAGGTTCCTAATTAAGGTCACACATTATGTCAACATATTAGATTTATCTCTATGAGACTTATCCAGATTTGATATTGGATATTAAAACATGTTTCATTTCGGCCCAAAGCACAACTACAATTATTATTATTATTATTATTATTATTATTATTATTAATCAAAACAATTTGATTAATTGATTATTTATTTATTAATAATTCTAGGGTATGTTTTGGAATGTTACATGTAAATTTCGTTAAATAACAGCAAATATAACCAAAGTCCTAAAGTATTTTGAATTGTACCCCTCCCCCTCCTGCCTTTGCTTCAATTCTTAGCCCGGGTTTTAGTGTTGTCCTCAAGAACATGAGGGTCTGCGGGGATTGCCATTCTCTGATAAAAGTATGTCATTAGTATCATCCAAAGAGAGATTTGAAGAGATTCCATGTTTTACAAGATGGTGTTTGCTCGTGCCAGGATTACAATGCCAGCTTCTTTGACATTGAATGGTTTGGCTGTGTCATTTCTTAATAAAAGTTATTTGTTGGAAGAAGTGATTCTGTCATTGATAAAAGTTTTTCTCATGTTTTTAAAGGTTACTTGTTTACTCCCCTTTTCAAAAAATATTCATCAAATAATGTCCCCCAATTTTATCCAAAAAAAGTAATGTCATTACTGCAATCACAAACCATATTCCGATTACAAGCTTCTATCTAAAAAGTACTAATAATAGGAAAAGTACTGATAGTGCACTTACAACCCATAGTGCAATTACTATAACAACATACTAAAAGTAAATATAAAAGTTTTTAAACTTGCTCACATTTTCCATGCTAATGCTCAACCCTCCTGTTCAGCCCTCATGTTTGCATATAACAGCACCTCTGTTGCATTTTTTTCCCTGAAACTCTCAATGCCTGCAACATGCACTTCATCCACTCCCATCCCCATGATGAGATGCTCATCCACCTTTACAACAAATACGCCACAGCTCACCCTGCATATTATTAAGTACATTGGGCATTATGGCTCTTTAAGTATATTACATGTTATTAGGTACCTATAAAGGACATTTATAACATCTACGAACTTACGTGTCTTGTTGTTGTGGGCAATCATTTACGTTCACAATGCCTAGCACATCATCTCCCATCTCAGGCATTTTTCGCTCCTTGTACACTTCCAGTTTGTCCATCACCTTTGGCAGTAAGATCTGTAGACATGGAAGGTATGGTTTTGTGTGGTGACAGGTCTTCCCCTTGTGGTTAGAGTCATACATCTTGATCCATTTCTTTGATATGTCAAGCACAGCCAGTATCCAATGGTTTCCAATGTTTATTGGCATGTAAACGTAATCACATTGTGCCCAGTGTCCTCCCAATACTAGCACAGCCCCTAGGATTGGTTTCAGTATTGAAGTGTTCAATGCTGCTTCAGCAATGGTTTTCCTTTTTCCCAAGTAGTTGTCATATTCTTTATTCAATAGACTGACAAATAGGCTGTCTGTTTCTGCAAATGGCTGAGTCAAGCCATATTCTTGTGCTTTCATGACCAGGTATTTGAAGGCAATAGTTACCTGTTGTAGTATATAAAGCATTGTAAGTGATTAGTATATTTAAAAATCCATAACCATATATGTATAATCGTCTAATAAAATGCCTATGTTCATACTTACCACATCATCCATCCATTCGTGAGGGTAGAAGAATCCATTGTACCATGTTTTTGTCATTATTTCGTCATGCCCCCACAATGGCCGAAATTCTTCTGGGTTTAAAGCATTTTCAAGGCTTGTGTATTTGTTCCATTCGCTTTTTTATGCTTTCTTAGGAGACCTTGTTCTAAAAACAACTCCACATTCTCACTAGTTAATGCTAATTTTGGCCCTTTGGGATAAGTTTCTGCCATGCCAGCTTCGGCCTCCACATTGTTGAGTTGCAAAGTGTCATCACCACCATCTATGGCTTTCTGTTTACATGTCTATGGTTTTTGAGAGATGTGTTGCTTCCAAGATCTTGAATATCCACTTTGGATATTAAAGATCTATCAAACGCAACGCCAACCGCTCTGCCAAGCAAGTTCTGCTGAAGCTGAAAACGGCTAATGGTGGAAAATATCACAAAATCTCAAGACAAGACTTGGTTTAGGAATTATTGTAATTTGAATTGTATTTTTTTAAGAGTTTTTGTTAACAAGCTGTATATTATGAGAAACTAAAAGAAAGTTATAAAATTAGTTCTCAGTACAGCGACCGAAACTCTTAAACACTTGTTTGTCATCATCAAAAAGGGGGAAATTGTTGGGAAAAATATTATAGATTTTGATGATGATGTATTTAGAATGTAATAGGGACTTTAGGTCTCCCCAAATATTCAATGTAATTTTTCTTTTTTAGAAATATTGTTAAAACCGAGTTCTTGAGATTTCCAATAAAGTTGTGATATTTTTTAAGCGGTTTGATGCCTGAAGACTTAATCAAATTCAGTAATTTGGAAATTGGATATCTTGATCGGAAATGTCAGAGACAAGTAAGGATTTCTCAAAGCAGACGAAAATCCTCCAATCCGGAAGACTACATAAGAACCGGATGTCTCGCTACAACCCGCTGAAGGCTAAGTCGGAAGACTAGCGCAGATTTCTTTCTCACCCGGAAGACTGAGTATGACTCTTCCGGATTTGTCAGCTAAGAACCGGATGCCTCAAGAAAGACCGGAATTCTCAAAAAGCGGACAAGTGAGAAAAGACTTAGAAAATTATCTAAGTCTTGAATGAAGAAATTCTACCCGTTGGTAAGGAAAAATCAATCTCTTGATTTTCAACGGCTAGATTGAAGATAATTATGCTGATTCAAGAACAAATGACTCGAAGACAAAGTCTGGACCTCTAAAAATTGAAGAGCCTGTCCATAATTCCTAAACAAGCACTAGAAGACAAACAGAGTAAAGTGCTACAGTCCAGAATTCCTGAACAACAGCTAGAAGACGGATTCTGTGGAAAAAGGAATCCCTCCTTAAACAATTGGGTATGTCCAAACACCCATTCCAATGAGGAATCTTTAAATCACAATCTTCATTCAAAATTGAAGCCAGCAAATGCAACGGATAGTCTATTTTGATTCAACGGATAGATTATTCAATCCAGCTATAAATAGCATCCTTGGAAGACTGGAGAAAAAAAACTACGACAACGATAAGAAAAACAACCACAACAAAGCTACCTCATTCACAGTTAGCCCAAAAAGCTTGATAAAGAGAGATTTCTAAACTCCTTATCTAGAAGCAAACTTCTCCTCCTTCCAAAGAGCTATAGTGTAAATACTTGAAGGTTTCCTTGCCTCAAGTACCACACCACGTTGAAGGATACAACTTTTGATCAAACTTATTGATTGAAAGGGGGTAGGTCAACTTTCTTACAAGTTGGTCTTGCAAGTCCTATTGTTCGGACCTTGCAGTTGTTGAAGAAGCGTGACCTTCGAAGGAACAACAAAGCCAGCACGAGTGCAGTAGCAACATTGGCCTTGCGAAGATATACCGTGCAGAAATTCACACAAGTGTAATTGTTGGTTCATTATTCAACAACCAACTACATAGTGGATTTTGAGGACGTAGAAGGNGTGTCTCTCTCTTTTATCTTTATTCTTACTTGCAATTATATTAATTGTGAAAACTAACCCATCCATATTGATTACTGCTCACTCTACCCACCAAATTCCGCACACAAGATTCTATACTCTTCACCATTTTCTCCAAAGATTTTATTTTGTTCAATGTTTCATTCTTCCGTTTCTCATCTCTGGCAACATTCTTCTCCAAAATGATTTGAGGACTGTGTGGTTTTTATGTCTTTTTTGGATTCATTTTTGTCTTCTCGGGGCTTTTCCTTTTTTGGATGCATTGCTCGGGGCTTTTCCTTTTTCTGGCGTTTGCTGTAGTATGTAAAGCATCCCCATGTTCACTCACAACATCTGTTTCTGGCATTGTCATCTTTATTATCCGTAGAGATAGGCAGTTCCTGGCTTTTTTGAGAATGACTTGTTCTTCATCAGATTTTACCATCTCTGTCCACTCAAACTGCAAATCAAAACAATGGCATATTATGATTCAATGGAAATTTAGTTTTGATAAAAAAAATACAATATTAGATACAAAACAGTACCCCACTCATCTCTTTTGTTTTTTTAAGTTTTACCTTTTCATTTTTGAATATTTTCTTCTCCAACAACTCTTTGGTGGTCCTCCTGTCCGCTGACCATCTCAGTGCCCTTGGCCATAATGTCTTCCTTCCTTCATCCAATACACATTCCTTCTCTTGCATCAGTGCTGAAATGTTTCATACGCCCATTTATGTAAAGCGAAATGGAATCCAAGGAAATTGAACCTTGGTTTCTTACTTGTATTCATAATACAACAACATTTCCGAACATTCTCTACCAGATCTTTCCACACATCTTCTCCCCATGGATACCTATTAAACTAGGATAAATTATCGACTAAGTGGAGATACAGTCCAGGAAGTTTAATACTTGGTTGGTTACCAATTATATAGGTCCCTAACATGTATAAGAGCCCCAACTTCACTTCATCTAATGCTTCTCTATTTTTATTTCTCTTGACTCTCTCAAATTCAATCTTCACACCTTCTCTTGTGACATTGATTTGACCATTGAAGTATCTTTTACTTATGTCACTTGGTTCTCTATAATTTTCCATTTTTTCAATGCTGCTCCCAAACCTAAAACCACTCACCTCTTGGAAGTCTTTCTTTGTGAATTTAATCAGTCTGTCACCAATGGAAAATGAAATTTCTTCAGAGGCATGCACTCTGTCCATCGGCTCCACATGGTTGAGTGTGAGAAGAATCAGGAGTTGACCATTAACACATTTCAATTCTCCAATGTCTAACCAATATCTAAAAGCAGTCTCTCAAAATTCACTTAGTTCTTCTTTTGAAAGCACTTCTTTCAACTTCCTAACCGCATTTCCAACATTGCACTATGAATTTATTTTAGCTTCAATTTTTGTATCCATTAGGTTCGGCTTACATAGGCGTTTATAGACCTACCACATTAAACAAAATTATGTTCACTTTGTTTCCAAAACACAACACAAATTGCATTTGAAAGTATTCTACTTTTTTCATTCAAATTACTTAGAGGACATTAATACACCAACTGAACACAGTCTCGTCATTTCAAATAAACCATGTAGACATTAGTAGGCATTATCATCATTTCAATGCACAGTAACATCCGCTGGACTTTATGCTTCTCATAAGCCCTCAAAATTTTATGTCTCAATCAAAAATGTTATTAGATTCATAACAGGAATGTCGATGATGAGGTGGACGATGAGGAAGAGGAAGAAGAAGAGGAAGCGGAAGCCGATGATGATGATGGCAGTGGTGATGAAGAGGAAGACGAAGACATTGACGAAGAACAGCTTCTCAATGATCTTTCACCGGACTTCTAGAGCTCTAGCTCTATTCCCTTCTCTTCTTTATTCTTTTTATACTTTTTAAATTTGCTTCCGTTATGTACTCCGCTATTTCCCTTAATTAATTAATAAAAATCTTTATGGTTTTTGTTATTCAAAATCTTTTTGTTAATGTCAAAAGGGGGAAGATAAGGGCTATGCATATATTAAGGGGGAATTTTTTTCAAAAAAAGATCAAATCCCCTTGCATATCCCCGTCTTGTTTGCCATTATCAAAAAGGGGGAAATTGTTGGAACACACTTTGTACGATAAACTAAAGTCGTGTTCATTTCTGACAGGTTTTGATAATTGCCAAACCGCCGTGGATATGAAGAGTTTCGTTGAATAACTCAAGGCGTGAAGAATGGCTGGGAACAAGACCAAAAAGACTCAAGGACAAGATCAAGAATTGAAGACTTAGTCGAGTTGGTCTTTTGTGATCAAAACCGACAATAAATTCAAGTCTCGGTTCTCAAAGAGTCAAAACAATTTTTACAAATCATAAAATATTTTTGTGCATCAAAATAAATATTTTTGATGATTTTTTATTGTTAAAATCCCTGGTCCTTGCTCGGAACCTAAACCACCTAGGTCGGCGTTCGGCGTTCGGTTTTTGGCGCCCGAACCAACTCCGTGGTTTTCATCATTTTAAACCCTGTTTTTACCTCTGAGCATTTTTAAAATGTTCCCAAATAATTATTTTATAAAAACCACTTTTGTATCTTGGTCAATCGGTCTAACACGTGAAAAATCGTCAAAACCGTACGCACGTGATGTACGACCTTGGAGACTTGGTTTTTACCGAACAAGTCTTGTTTTCACTATTTTATACCATATACAATGTTTTTCAAATCTGGTTTTTACTTTTGGAAACACTTCGTTTTTGGACCTCGGTTTTTCAAAACGGGTTTCAGCTAGCTAGACTTTAGCTAGGTGATAATCGATTATCACTTTGGTAAAAATCGATTATCTGCCTCTGCAGCTTTGAACTCCAAAGTTCTGAAGCAGGCAATAGTCGATTATCACATTTGCAATAATCGATTATCAGTCTGTGCAGCCAAAACCCAGAATCTTCTGAGAGGACCAATAGTCGATTAGCACTTGTTGATAATCGATTATTTGGGTAACCGTTGTCCTCCAACGGATAGAATTTTAAATTTTTGGACAGGGAATCTTTGGATAATCGATTATCAAGCTTTGACAATCGACTATCACCCCGTGTCTCTGAAAAATTTGTCTTCATCCTGTTGGAAATTTTAGCAACGGGTTTATCCCATTTTGAGCTATAAAATGGCACCCAAATCCTCTCATTTTACACACAATTCTTCAACATTTCAATACTCTTTCATTGCATAAGCATTCCTAATTTTCTTAGCTATTTGAGAGCCAATTCTTGAAGAAATAGTCGTGTTCTTGAGCGTTTACTAGTTCACTCATATCTACTCTTTGCGGGAGTTTTATTCCTGAGTGTTTAAGTGTTTTTATACACTTTAAGGGAGGTTTTTCCCTTGTTTTAAATTCGAAGGAAGTTCTTTGTTCCTTCGTGAGAAGTCTTGGAGTGCGGTATCTCCGAGCAAAGGTGTTGAGGCTCGTGTGACTCGGGTTCTCAAGTTGTATCGGTTTGTTAAGCACCCTTAAGCTTAACGGAGTTAGTGTAGTTCGAGAGAGTCTCTCGGGGGGCTGGATTAGCCACTCGTGTTGGTGAACCAGGAAACAATTCGGTGTGCTCCTTCCTTACGCTCTTTACTTTTTCGCTCTCGTTTTTAATTTCCTGCGATTTTGTTTTAAACGCTATTCACCCCCCCTCTAGCGTTGGGCCTTTATTCTAACAATTGGTACCGGAGCCATACTCTCTGAAAAACTTAACCGTTTGAGAGAAACGATCAATGGCTTCTACTCAAAGTTCATACGCAGGTTTAGGTGAAGGGCAATCCACCACGAGGCCTCCGTTGTTTGACGGGACAAACTACACCTATTGGAAGGAGCGGATGAGGATTTACATTCAATCCACCAACTTTCTCCTTTGGAGAATTATCAAAAATGGTGAAGACGTGCCAATGAAGAAGGTTGAGGAAACCAACGTCCCTAAGACCGAGAATGAATATGATGCACAAGACATCAAGAAAGTGGAAAACAATGCCAAGGCCATCAACATCATCTATTGTGCTGTTAACCCGGATGACTACCGGAAGATCAAGCCAAAATGCCCAAATGCCAAAAACGAGAAGGAGAAGAAACCGTTCAAGAAGCACCGAGCTTACATTTCATGGGGAGGTGATTCCAGCGATGAGTCATTGGAAGGCGAAGAGAATGAAAGCGCCAACCTTTGCCTCACGGCACATGAGGAACCACCGGAAGAGGTATGTTCCACTTCTAAAGATTCCTATACTTTGGATGATGTACAAGAAGCTTTTAATGAACTCTATGATGAATATGTCAATGCTTCTAAAATTAACAAGGATTTAAAGAAATAACTTACTTCCATGGAGAAGGAAGTTGATAAATTATCAAAATATAATGAAAAACTCAAGGAAGAAAATAAGTTTTTCGGAAAAAGAAGCGCCGACAAACCGGAGAGTTCAAAATGTAGTTCATGTACATCACTTAAAGAACAAGTTGCAAAACTTGAAGGAACCTTAAAGAAGTTTGGTGTCTCTCACAAAAATCTCAATGATGTTCTTGACAATTTGCAAGTTACTAAACATGGCTTAGGATTTGAAAATGAAATCAATAATAAGGAAAAAGTTGAGCAACCACCTAAACAACCTAAGGCTCAACCTAGGAAATCTAAAATGAACAATAATAGACAACCTACATCAACTAGGAACACTAGACCACCTAGAAAGAACACTAGGATAAACAATGGTCAAGTTAGAGAACCTAGAAACCATTTTCCAAATGTGCATAAACAAAACTTTTCTCAACCTAGGGTAAATCAATATAGAAAACCTAGTATTTATTATCAACCTAGGAGAATGCATAATCCAAATGTTATTTTTCATTATTGCAATAGGGTAAGACATATAGCCCCGGTTTGTTTCACTAGGCATAGGCATTGCACTCAAAACCAATCACACTACCAACGTGCACCTAACGGCTAAGGACCCAAAAGGAATTGGGTACCTAAATCTTTTTAAATTGATTTGTAGGTGTGCTTGAAGGCATCAAGTGTACTTTGGTCCCTTGATAGCGGATGCTCCAAGCACATGACCGGAGATGCATCCAAGTTTTTGCAAATCAAACCAACTAAAGGAGGAAACGTTGTCTTTGGCGATAATAGCAAAGGCAAGATAATCGGCATTGGTTCGGTTGGTAAAAACGAAAACTCCTCTATTGATAATGTTTTGTTGGTTAAGGGTCTTAAACACAATCTCTTGAGC